CCTTCACAGATGCTGCCAGACCTGCTGAGCTTTTCCAGCAACTTCTGTTTTTTTGTCTTTGTTTCATGTTAGACCCAGATGTGGGAGAGGGAGTCCCACACCTTTGTGGGGGGAACCTACGACCAGATGCTTTTCGAACTGCTGCAATTTAAGTAAACCAATGCACGCACAGCAAGCTCCCACATCCAGCAATGTGGCAACTGCCAGATTGTCAGCCCCCAGGAATGGTGGCTGAGGGACAAACGTTGGCACAGTGCGTACTCCCTTTGTGTTGTCCAAAATGTTCCCAGTCAGGGTCTGCCACCTCCGCCAGAGTGGGCATCAACGATGAGGTTGTGGTGAGGTTGGTGGGGAATTGGCTGGTGGGGGTCAATGGGCCTTGATCTTATTTTGGTTCATTGCACTCCAGCCCAATCTCACCAGCTCCCCACCCCAGCCCTGCCACTGCCTGCTTTAAAGGGATGAGCTGTTTAAAGACAGGTGTGATTGATGTGAGACAGCTGGGGTTTTACAGGGGAATGACAGCAGAGATAGAGAGAGAGAGAGAGTGAGGCGGGGTGGGGTGGGAGACGAGGTTTGAAATCTGTGGGACATCACCAGTGCCTGAGTAGGGGGGCAACCATGATCAGGCAGGTGACCTGTAACCCCAACTCCACTCTAGGGCCCTCAGTAAAACAGTAACTTTAAAGGAAACGAAGCAGCCAGCGCTGAAGGGGGTCGTTCTCTGGAGGTTTCCTGAGGTTCGTAAGAGAGGGGAAAGGATTAGTGGCTGGAGCCTTGCTAAAAATATTCCGCACTAATAACGCCGTTCTCAACTGATTCCTCCCACCCCCACCCGCCTAGCCCTCCATCAACGAAAACCTCACCTAACGACCTCGCTCCAACCTGGAGAAAACCCTGAGCAAAAGGCCTTTTCGTAAAAAAATTGAGGTACGCTAACTTTTATTCTCATTGTTCTTACAAAAAAGCTTAACCGGTTGTAGAGAGAGAGAAAAAAAAGAATTGGTTTAAATGTTGGAGATTCTTTTAAAACTCTTCTTTTCAAAGTTTATAAATTCCTTTCCTGTGTACGGTTTTGGCTTGTTTAATTTAGTAAGCTCAGCTGAAGCAATTTTTCACTCGTGATCTCTGCTCAATTTACGCTGAAAGCTTCATCGAGCAGAAAGTTCAATACGTTTTTCAAAAGATTATCAGCTCTTCCCCTCTTCGCTTTCTCTCTCTCTCTCTCTCCCCATCCTTTATTTATTAAATTTGATTAGATTTGAAAAAGAAGAGGCTGCAAAACACCAGATATTTGTATCTGACAGCTGTCCCTCTGGTTTCTAACCCCCTTTACATTTTGCTCAGGGTTTTTCTTCATGCATACTGTGCAGACTACCCTCACTCTGAAGAAGGGCAGCAGAGAGGCCCAACCCAGTCCTTTCCTGCCCACTGGGAGGGCAAGGTTGGCGGAGGGGGTTTCAGCTGTCCCCACAAAGAGGGCAAGGGTCCATGGCGGGGACCAGACTGTGCCCGAGGTGCCCCCTGTTGTGGAGCGTGCCCAGGCGCCTGCTTTTCTCAGGAAGCTGAAGAACGCAGCAATAGGCACTGGCTGTGACATCAGGCTGAAGGTGGCAGTGACAGGGTGCCCCGTACCCACGCTGGCCTGGTACAAGAACAACCTCTGCCTGGCACAGGAGAGCGGGGAGTATGGGGCTCTGTGGATCCGGGATTGCAAACCCACCGACGCCGGGGTCTACACCTGCATCGCTCGGAACTGCGTCGGAGAATCCCACTCTTCAGCTGTGCTGGCTGTGTTGGAGTTGGAAGGTAGGACGCTGGGTTTGTAGGGGGCAGAGGTTGTGGGGAGAGGTTGGTGGACAGAATGATTAATTATTCCTGGAATCTCGATGTTTGTCATAGCACACCTCTAGGGCAGGTGGGATTTGAATGTGGGCCTCTTGGTTCCAGTGTGGAGATGCCGGTGTTGGGCTGGGGTTGGACAAGGTCAGAAGTCACATGACACCAGGTTATAGTCCAACAGGTTTATTTGAAATCACAAGCTTTTTGGAGCGCTGCCCCTTTGTCAGCACAAGATCTCCCCACATTTAGAGCTTAGTCATTCAACTTTGCGCGTTCTCTTTCTGGGTTCAGTATTTTTCATAAGCGACCTGCTTGGAGATGTTATCACACACCCATGGAGGAGGTGGGAATGGAACCTCAGTCTTCTGGCTCAGAGATAGGGACACTTCCACTGTGCTAGAATAGACCCTGCTCCTAAAATGTAATTGTTTTGCTTAATCAACTTGTTCAGAGATGTTACAACGCAGCTCTGGAGCAAGTGGCACTTAAAAGTGGGCCTCCTGGCTCAGAGATAGGGACACTGCACCACTAGAGCCTGGAATTTAGAGGACTGAGAGATTTAAACTGGTTTCAGAGGTGACTGAGGGGATCTGATGAGGTAGATGTGGAAAAGGATGTTTCCTCCTGTTGGAGAATCTAGAACTAGGGATCCGAATGTAAAAATAAAGAAGCACCCATTTAGGACAGAGATGAGGAAACATATTTTTTTCTCTCAGAGGGTTGTGAGTCTTTGGAATCCCCTTCCTCAAAAGGCAGTGGATGCAGAATGTTTAAATATTTTTAAGGCCAAGGGAGATAGATTCTTGCTGACCAAAGGGGATGGAAGATTATTGGGGATGTGCAGGAATGTAAAGTTGAGGTAAAATAAGATCAGCCACAATCTTATCAAGTTGGGGAGCAGGCTCAAAGGGCCAAGTGGCCTAGTCAACTTTCTTGCTTGTACATTTGTAGACATATAAAAGGAGGATTTGGAGCTGGGTTATGGGAATCTGATTGCAGAGATACAGAACCAAGTCAAAAGGTTTGAGCCTGGACATTCAGGAATGAAAAAGAAAACCCAAAGAACTTTGGATGCTGTAAATCAAAAACAAAAAGAGAAATTGCTGGAGAAACTCAGCAGGTCTGGCAGCATCTGTGGGGACAAAGCAGAGTTAATGTTTCTAGTCCAGTGACCATTCTTTGGCAATTTGTAAACACTTCCTCACATGGAGGGTGGGGAAGAGTTTAGAAATTCTGTTCCTTAAACGGGAACTGATGCCAGATTAATTGTTGATTTGAAATCTGAGACTGATGGGATTTCCTTCTGGATGAAGGAACTGAGGCCATTGTTGCTAAGGTCACAGATAACACAAAGATAGGTGCAGGATCAGGTAGTACTGAGAAAGTGGGGAGGCTGCAGAAGGACTTGGACAGGCTAGGAGAGTGGGCAAAGCAAGGGGCAGATGGAATGCAGTGTGGGAAAGTGTGAGGTTATACACTTTGGTAAGGCGAATGGAGATGCAGACTATTTTCTAAACAGGGAAAGGCTTCAGAAATCTGAAGCACAAAGGGACTTGGGTATCCTAGCTCAGGATTCTCTTAAGGCTAACATGCAGGTTCATTTAGTTGTTTGGAAACCAAATGCAATGTTAGCATTCATTTCAAGAATACAAAAGCAGGGATGTACTGCTGAGGCTGTATAAGGCTCTGGTCAGACTGCATTTGGAATATTGGGAGCAGTTTTAAGCCCCGTATCTAAAGAAGATCGTGCTGGCATTAAAGGGGGTCCAGAGGAAGTTTACAAGAATGATCCTGAGGGATGAAGGGCCTGTCATGTAAGGAGCAGTTGAGGACTCTGGGTCTGTACTTGATGGAGTTTAAAAGGATGCGGGGGAGGGGATTCTGATTGAAACTTACAGAATACTGAGAGGTATTTCTACCAGGAGGAGAGACTAGGACCTGAAGGTACAGCCTCAGAGTGAAAGGACAACCCTTTAGAACTGAGATGAGGAGGAATTTATTCAGCCACAGTGGGGTGAATCTGTGGAGTTTATTGCCACAGAGGGCTGTGGAGGCCAAGACTTTGAATGTATTTAAGACAGAGATAGATAGGTTCTTGATTGGTAAGGGGATCAAGGGTTATGGGGAGAAGGCAGGAGAATGGTGTTGAGAAATATGGAGCAGACTTGATGGGCTGAATGGCGTAATTTGTGCTCCTGTATCTTACGGTCTTTTGATAGACTTTTGTTAGTCCAAGGCACGTGGGACATGGTATGAAAGAGAGTGTGTGGAGTCAAGTCATTGATCAGCCATTGTCTTATTGGATGGTGGATAAGGCCCGAGGGGCTGAATGGCCTCTTCCCAATCTTCATCACTGATTTCAATGGTTAACACTCTGCCACCCAGAGTGACACTGAATCATAGCTGGTGGGAGGGGGGCATCGTTTTCGATCAGGAATCAACACAAGGTCAACTGAAAGTCAGTGGAAGCTAGGATTGTTCTCCTCAGAGCAGAGGAGGCTAATGGCTGATATGTTTCTGAACACCATTCTCCTGCCTTCTCCCCATAATCCTTGATCTCCTTACTAATCAAGAACCTATCTACCTGCCAGTGTTCATACCCGAAACGTCAGCTTTCTTGCTCCTCTGATGCTGCTTGGCCTGCTGTGTTCATCCAGCTCTACACCTCGTTATCTCTCTCTCCCTATCTACCTCTGTCTCTGATTGGAGGAGATCGTAGAAATAGGAATGGAATTGCAAATGAGAATGGGAGTCTTGAGATTGGGTTGTTGTTGGACTGAGCAACAGTGCATGATGGGTAAAAGGGACTTGGTGTGACCTCGATATGGCATCTATGGGAGTACTGGTTCATGGTGGATAGAGAGTGGGAGGTCACATGATTCTGACACTGGTAAGTGGAACTTTGTAATTTTGCAGGTACAGCAGATGGTGAAGAAGATAAATGGTATGTTGGCCTTCATTGCAAGGGGGAAGTGATGGCCTAGTGGTATTATTGCTGGACTGGTAATCTAGAGACCCAGATACTGTTCTGGGGACCCAGGTTCGAATCCTGCCATAGCAGATGGTGGAACTTGAATTCAATAAAATATTGGGAATTAAGAGTCTAATGATGACCATGAATCCATTGTCAATTGTTGGGAAAAACCCATCTGGTTCATTAATGTCCTTTAGGGAAGGGAACTGTCATCCTTACCTGGTCTGGCCTACATGTGACTCCAGACCCACAGCAATGTGGTCGACTCTCAACTGCCCTCTGGGCAATGAGGGATGGGCAGTAAATGCTGCCTGGCCAGCGATGCCCTCATCCTGTGAATTGAATAAAGGGAAAAAAAAATTCGAGCTTAGGAGCAGGGATGTCTAGTTACAATTGTACAGGTCCTTGGTGAGACCACACCTAGGATATTGTGTGCACAGTGTTCTCAGCTTTATTAGTAAAGGCCTAGAATACAAGAGCAAGGAAGTGATGCTGAACTTTGTAATAAAGCTCATTTGAAGAGCTGGTGCAGACACAATAGTCCAAATGGCCTCCTTCTGCTGGGTAACAAATCTGAGAACCTCTGATAGAATACGTGAGGAGAAGGTGTTTCCAGGGGCAGGAGGCTTGGTAACCGTGAGGGACACAGATCAAAGGGAATCAGCAAAAGAGTGGGGCAAGGGGATGGTAATTAGTTTTGACCCAGGGATTTGTTGTGATGTGGAATATGCAGGGGAGAGGGTAGGATGGAGCGAGACTGCCTGTAGAGCTCTTTGAAAGAGCCAGCATAGAACACAATGAGCAAAAATTATATCTGTTTATTTTTCACAAACATTCAATGTTTTTGCCTCAAAAGCCTTCTGGAGCAGAGAATTCCACAGGCTCCCCACTTTCTGGGTGAAGACATTTCTCCTCATCTCAGTCCTAAATGGCCCACCCTGTATCTTTACACTGTGACCCCTGGTTCTGGACTTCCCCACCATCAGCAACATCCTTCCTGTGTTTACCCTGTCTAATCCTGTTAAAATTTTATGGGTTTCTATGAGACTCCCCCTCATTCTTTTAAACTCCAGTGAATATAGCCCTAACTGATCCATACTCTCTTCAGACGTCAGTCTTGCCATCCCAGGAATCTGCTCAGCCCAACAACAACTCAATTTCAAAACTCTCTTCGTCGTTTGCAAATCTATTCCAATTTTGTTGGTTTCGTCCAGCAGCACACAACACTTTCCATTCTTTAAACTCCTTTATTTGTCTTAATTCTGCCACGGGACGTGGATGTTGCTGACAAAGCCACCATTAGCTGTCTCTGCTTAATTTGCCCTTGAATGGAGTGTCCTGCTGGACCATCTCAGAGAGCAGTTAAAAGTCAATCCCATTGCCGTTGGCCTGGAGTCACGTGTAGGCCAGTCCAGGTAAGGACGGCAGATTTTGTTTTTTCACTTACTCGTTGGACATGAGCATCGCTGGCTGGGCCCAGCATTTATTGCCCGTCCCTAGTTGCCCCTTGAGAAGGTGGGGGTGAGCTGCCTTCTTGAACCGCTGCAATCCATGTGCTGAAAGTAGACCCACAAGCCTTAGGGAGGGAATTCCTTCACTGAAGGACACTAGAGGGTTTCAGTGATTAAGATAACGGTTGTCATAACTGAGATTAATTTGCAATTCCTGATTTATTCATTGTATTTAAATTCCATCAGCTGCAAGGGTTAGATTTGAACCTGTGCCCCCTGCAGATTCCCAAAATGATCCAGAGGTGAGGGGGGTAAGAGGCGCTGGTAGGGTTAAATTGTGCAGGCTGGGCTTCAATTCTCTCAGGTATAAAACAATGAGAGATGCAAATGTCAGTGATGCCTTAATCTCACGAATGAATTTAGAAAGTATCTCATTGAGGTGTTATAGTAGAACATTAAAGGATAAAGTAGATAAAGTAGATGGAGAGAAACCATTTCCTCTGATGAGCGGTTGGAAGGGGAAGTGGGACTGCGTGTGTAGG